GGGGTTGTTGCTGTTGTTTGTTTATTATTGGGGAGGGGGGAGGGGGGACGGCTGTCACTTTATTTTTATTTGCTTCTTAGTTTTGGATTTTGGTTATGTTCAGGGGTTTTGTGTAGTTCTATTTCTATTTTTATGAGAGGAGGGGTGTCTCTTTCTTTTTGTTTATTGTTTTACATTGTTTTTGTTTTTATTACGTAAGGAACCTAGACAGAGGGACGATGTGGGAAATCCAGGATAACATAGGTCTGGGGTTTTTTTTCTCTTTTAAGCATCCGAACAAAGAAATGAATGGTGAAGTTGGGTAAAATTTGTATCAAGTACTTCAGTCTTTCTGCAAGGATGTTGCATCCTTCTCAGCCCGGATTGGCCCTCACAGGCAGGGTAGGAAGCCGCCTCTTAATTTAAATGACCTAATTTGTGTCTGTGCGGGCGTAAAAACACCAACATTAAAGAGAAAAGAGACAGAACCTGTACAGTAGTAAGGATATCGCCACGAGCGCTCAAGAACTTCTTTGATTTCGTTGCTCAAATTAAAATTTTTCTTTCTACACAAGGTACGTCACTGCGATTTTATTTGATGTGCAGGGACTGCAAAGAAAGAAAGAAAAAACAAAGAACGAACGAAAAAAGAAAGAGAGAGAGAGAAAGAATGAAAGAAAGAAACAAAGAAAAGGAGAAAGAGAGAGAGAAAGAAAGAAAGAAAGAAAGAAAGAAAGAAAGAAAGAAAGAAAGAAAGAAAGAAAAAAAGAAAGAAAGAAAGAAAGACAGATTGAAAGAAAGAAAAGAGACAGAAAGAAGTAGATCAATAACAATAGAATACCCCCACCCAAAAAATAGAAAGAAAGAAAAAAAAGTTTTTAAAAATACAGATAACTAACGATACCCCCCCCCCCCTTTTTTTCACATATGAACGAAAGAAAAGAAAAAAAGAAAGAAAAGAAAGAAAAAAAGAAAGAAAGAAAGAAACAACGATTGCACAACATTTGATTCAAACTTTCTCCTCAGTTAACAAGTCCACCAAAATTTTGCCCACGACACCAGACACTCAAGGGGCAGAGGGTGAGACAAACTAAGAAACAAGCCAGCAACAATAAAAGTTTAGAAATGTGACAGACTCAAGATACCATTTTTATTGCCGGCCAGCTGTACAGAAGTGCTAAGTCAAAAATGTTCTCCCCCC